TGCTCGCCGGGGTCCAGAAATTTCCCGATAATTTTGGAGCTGGGGAGCTCCGAGGCGTGCTGCACCGCATAGGGCTAGTTTGACCGTAGCGTTGTATAGAGTAGAAATTGTGTGTATATATATATATAATGCCGGCATATTTAAATTCTATTTCTATTTCTATCTATTCATTTAAACATATATTCTTTCTCATCCTCATTCTAGAAATCATGAGCTAAAATTGCTCAGATATATAGACAAATCAATTGACCGCGCACTTTTCTTTCAGTATTCTCCCGCTCTGCTCTGGAAGCTTTCTGCGAAGTTGAAGGAGTACACGAGGCATTCTGGTACCCCCTCTTTCTCTGCATTCATTTCTTCAACATACACAACACTGGCCAGTTGGGACAGGCCAGCCCGTTCGACAGAGCAAGTGAAGGCTTCAACTTCATGCGGCCGTCGAGACACACAAATCAACGCACGTCGTCCCAGTGATTTCGCAGTCGCGAGGAGTGCATCAATAGACGGGCTCGGCGTCTCTGGGTTCACAAAGTCATAGCCTGCAAAAGCTACAGATTAGTGCGTGCATGAAGCTGGCAATTGGGCCGCAACAGGTGCGATACACCGGAACTCACACACGAAGTTGAGGGGCTGGAAAATTCGGTAGATGCGATGCGGGCTTATTGGATTCATACACAACTTTACGCTGAAGTTGTGATTCTCGAACTTTGTCGCCAGGCTTCTGCAGTCGGCAGCCAGCACCAAGTCAAAGGGAACGCAGCTCCGAATCTCGGGCGCAAGGTGGTCCAAGCGGGTGCCCCAAGGCAAAGCCTTGTTGCAATCCATGTCATGTTGGGCACGGGTGGAAGAAAAGGCCCTTGGCTCCTGCACCAAGTACAGTTACACAACAAACAAATTATTCCAGCTTGAGGCCGGACCGGTGCCTATCGCACGTCCAAGTTTCCCCTTCACAATACCGGGGTACTTGCTGGATAAATCCCAAAGCTCCATCTCCAAGGCTGAGGTGCTGCTCAAGCAACCAAGGTCCGACAAAGACTTCCCAAGCCATTGGCCGCCACGTTGCGCTTGAGGAGGGGCAGGGCTCGGTAAACGTCTGTAAGGATGGCAGGCTTGGCTCCTGCAAGTTTTCATCGCTGCGCATGCACATTGTCAAAACACCCTCCGGGATCCTCGCAAAGCTGCGTACCTCAGACCATTGCACAGGTGGGACTTCTGACAAATCCTGGTCTGGAAAAGCCCTGGAAGCCTCTCCCACTCTTTATCTGTACTGGTGTCTGAGCGGCATTCCCACGGCCCCACAGCCGGATCCAAGCTCCAGAATGCTGTTGCCTTTTAGGACTTGGTCGTCCATGGTCGCAAGGTAGTTCATCAATGCCTGCAGCCACTCGCACATGTAACATGAGGTTTCGATACCACGGGGCCGAGGCCAGTGTCCTGGCAAAGCGAAGCTTAGGATGTTCTAGGGGCCTTAGCCGCCGGCCAAAGGCACCAAGCGCACCACGCATCATCACCTGGCTGAGGGAGTACACTCTACTCCGTGAGTCGTGGATCGTAGGCCCACTTGTGGGGTCACCGCTCTTTCATGCTTTCGTCCAATGCGCTACCTCCCAGGTCCAAGGTCGGGTCTTCGATGAGGGAGATGCTCAAGCCACGTTCCTTGTCCACCTTCGCGGCGCAGATGGAACGAACCCCGTACGGCCCCACCTGACCGACGTTGCTTACATAATGGCCTGTGAATTTGCACAGTGGGGCCAGGACTGTTCAGAAGCTCTTCACGTGTTCGTCCATTTTGTCTGGCCTACCATACCCATGCTCAGCGCTTGCAGGTAAGCCTCTGCCCTGAAACGGGACCAAATTATCAACTCTAAGTTTTCGTCCTCCAATGAAGCATCTCGCCAGACTCAAGCCGCAAGCCCTTCTGCCCTAAGCCTCATGGCCTAATACAAGCTAGCCTCCACCTTCCGTGTCCAGAGCCGTGACTCCCGGGCCATGGCTGCGTGAGTTGCAGACCGCTCAGGTGGGATTCCTCAGAACACCCTAACCGCCCTAACCCAAACTGTCCTGCATCCTTGTCCTCCTTGTCCACCCGCAGGGAGCTCAATTCGGCTTAAGTCGTCTCTGCAAAGAGCCCAACACCCGGCAATTCAGCAATGCACCCAAAATTACAGTAAATTCGAAGTACTATTATGCTTAAAGGTAGAGTGCGCTTACGGTGTGCCCTGTAGTGTTGAGCCCTGCGGGTCATGGAGTATCTGCTCTCAATTTTAGCCTGAAGGTCTAAGCAGGGTATCGCTCTAAACTGAAAGCTTAGCAGCTCAGTGGAGCCAACACAAGCGAGCCGAAAGTTCACACAGTTTGCCAACCTTCACACGAGCCAAAGCAGGTGTCCATCACTCAAAGTCACATCACGGATCGCAGCCAACGCATGTAAACTCCGAAGCAAAGAGACTATGGAGGGTTTGCCCCAGAACAGTCATGGACTCAAACAGCCTTGAAATGCCTGGAAGGTGTGTGTATGTGATGGATGCAAGTGCAGGGGTGGGCGAAGCGGCAAGGAAGCGCATTTTCAGAGCTACAAGCTTTTGGTAGCGGTTGCACGCAGTTTGTGGCACCGAGTCTCCGTAGGCTTACGGTGGACAAGGCGGAGCAGTCATCTACCATTGAAGGAACCGCTGGCCAAGAAGCGAGAGCTGCTGTCCGCCTTTTAACAAGTGTATATGTGCGATCTCTGTCTGTCTAAATTGTAAGCTGCTGCTGCACTACGTTTTTAATGTGTAGATAATGGTCATACTGTGACTGCACATGTTGCTGCCTGCAGCACTGCATTGGCATCATTGGCGGGCTGGGTGATGGCCGAGCACAGCGCATCAATTCATGGCAATTCATTGCCGCAAGCGGTCCTCAATGGCACGAAACCCATGCTGCCTCAGCGGGTGCAAACGGGCCATCCAACAGCGCGAAATCGATGCACTTAACAAGCATGCTGGGAAATCCAGACTGCTCTGGCAGTGCTGAGGGGTTCCCGCTGGAGAATTTAGTTTCATGCTTGCTCGTCATTTTGGATCCTCTGAAACTGGTCGTGCCACCCTGCCTGGCCAGATCAAGCGCTGTCTGCCCGGACTGGGTGGTGGCCGTCGCATCTGCACCTCCGCGTTCACTGATTACTATTGCTGTCACTGTATTCAAGGTTTCGAAGACACGGCTGCTTTCTGTTCTGCATTGGACCCGGTGCCTGCTTAGAGCCCAAGTAGCTGAAGCCCTGTGCAGGCGAAACAGGCCATCTATCATGTTCGACACGGTCTTGCACAAGCTGTAGAGCTGCATGTTGTATGATGCCTTCTGCTGACATAGCTGGGCTTCAGGAATCTTCAAGAATAGCCGTGGGCAGTGTGCTACTGAGATCTCAGGCTGCCACGGCTATTCAGCAGAAGGTCAACGAAGGGCGCGGCACCTGCCACTTGCTTCCGAAGGAAGGTGCGAACGTTGCAACCCTCCTTGATCACAAGACTCCATCGAAGGGGGCTTCATAAGTTCGGGTCACTCGGAATAGGCCGAAGCCAAATGAATCAGGGTACATTTCCCTGGTCTCGGGAAAAAATTGGGCTTTGGGGTTTGGGCGTTCAGAATATGCTTGTGCAAACCAACTTTGCACGGACTCTACGGCTTGGCCCGTTAAGCATCTGAATCCAGAAAGTTTGGCCGAGCTGAGCTGTACTGAGGGTCGTGGCCGGCTGAGGCTGCCAGGTGCAGCGGCGCAGTGCCGTCGTCGTGCGCCCTGTGAGCCCCAAAGTGAGCAGTTAGTGGTGGCCGGTTTCAACAGGAGCGGCTGCTATGCAGAAGATTCAGCAGGATCATCGCTTCAGCACGTAGGCGGATGGATGCATGGGTCTGTGCCATGATGTGTGTACTGTGCGTTGGGAAGTATATATCCTGAGAATCGGGTTGTATCCAACACGATGCCTCAAATCGACAGAACCCGATTACACTCCAGTCATGTGCATAATGACTACGTGCATCGCACGTCCTCCCGTCAGTTTGCAATCATGAGCTAGCTGGATGTATTTGCGGACTGCTGGCAGGAGAGTGTTGCTGAGGTGGTGCCAACTGCGTGCCGCGGCCGGACAATTCTGAGACCGGCACGCATTAGGATCTGCAGCGCCTGCAAGACCAGTGAGGCCCTGCCCTACGAAAGTGCTCCCACTTCCTGTGCGTACGGCAGTCGGTGAAGGGAGGCATTTGTAGCTTGACTTCTTCTGCTAGCTTGTGTGATACCTTCAGGTCCCTGCTTTAACTTCTACAGATTCACAGAACGTCAACACGGTATCTGCGAATCTCTGAAAGGGCTGAAGCGATGGCCCCTTCCGGGCATCCCGACGCTCCAAGAGCAGGGCTGCTTCCACCCGTAGGTTGTGGTGAACCTGTGGAGCGGAATTGAAGCCTCTCCACCATGCCTTGCTTTCTCGTAGCACTGCGTAGGTGTTTATTCTTCGCCAAGTGCCAAGTGTGACAAGCCCTTCTTTTCTGGGTCTTTCTCTATCGTGCGGTACGATATGTATATATATATATATATATTTTTTACATACATATGTGTATACTTATGTTCATATACCTATATGCTAATATGAACACGCGCACACACACACACATATATATATATATATACGTGCATGTAGACATTCTTCTTCCTAGCCTCTTAGCGTGCAGGAGGCTCTGGGGGATGCAACCTATACATACATACATACATGCATGCATACATACATACATACATATACATATATATATATATATATGTATTTGCTACCCCCCCCCCCCTCATGTGCCTACCTTTGGTGTGTGTTTGTGGTGCTTGTTTGTTGATTTTGTATACTCATGCATGTAGTATGCTTAAGAACTAACAGTTGCTAACAATGTCCCGTGAACACCCTCCAACACCAGATCACTACGAT